TCTTCGCAACACAGAAAGAGAATTCTACTTTGTGAGGGTTATAATCCATAAGTGCGGCCGAAGGCCGCCTACGCAGAAAGGTGTTCTGTGCAAAAAGTGTTCAGCGCCTTTTCTTCGCAACACAGAAAGAGAATTCTACTTTTGAGGGTTATAATCCATAAGTGCGGCCGAAGGCCGCCTACGCCGAAAGTTTCTCTGCAAAAGGTGTTCAGCGCCTTTTCTTCGCAACACAGAAAGAGAATTCTACTTTGAGGGTTATAATCCATAAGTGCGGCCGAAGGCCGCCTACGCAAAAAGAAGTTTATACACAAAAACCCTGTATACTTTTTTTCCATATTAATTCCATTTTCGTGAAAACTATAAAAAGGTATATGTATAAATATGTATATCAAATTAAAGAGAATTAAATTCTCTATCAAAATTGTCCAATTCCTTGAAGAGGTTTTCGAGAAGTAGAATTCTCCTTTCTGTGCTGCCAAAGAAGGGGGGCTGAACACCTTTTGCAGAGAACACCATTCTGCGTAGGCGGCCTTCGGCCGCACTTAGGGATTATAACCCTCAGGCAGTAGAATTCTTTCTGTTTTGCGAAGAATAGAAGCCGAACACCTTTTGCAGTGAACACCTTTGTATATTTTTAATGCTTCTGTTTTATATCTTATCTATTGTCTCTCATTCTTTTGCATATTTTGGAGTTTGACAGCTGAACTCCGCCATTGAATTTGCATATGCAACCAAAGTCAGACGAGTGATTTTGAAAGGTGTTTTTATTTAATGAATTGTGATTAATAATTGATTAATATTAAAGCAAGTTATAACTAATCGAGTGAAGTGTAAAGTGAAGGGGAATACAAAAATTTATTGATGAAGTGGTTGCTTTAAGGAGAATAGGAGTGATAAATGTACGCTAATTTCCGAATTTTACAAAAAGAACATAATTCCAATCCAATTTGTAAATAAATTAGTGACCAAAATTTACAAAAGTGAGTGTTAAAATAATGCTACTATAAGTGTGTGGAATTTTTTTTGGATCGGGCCACCGCTTTGAATAGTTGTGAGCGCTACTAAACCCCACCCGAAAAATATTCCAATACGGAACCAGGCTTTCGAAAAAAATAAAAATTAGGGTGTGTAGAGCGGGTGCCACTGATTCTAAATCTGAAAACCGCCCTTCCGGAGGCTTATAGTTCTGGGTGGGGTTTAGTACCGCTCACAACTATTTCGGGCTATTCCGTCCAAATGAGTGGCCCGATCCAAAAAAAAATTTCACACACTTGTAGTCAAGGGTCCACGCAATATTTTAACACTCACTTTTGTAAATTTTGGTTACTAATTTATTTACAAATTGGGTTTAAAATATGCCCTTTTTTGTAAAATTCGGAAATTA